GATAGGAGCTGATGGTGCACTGTAGGCTGGCTTCCCAAAATGAGGCACATAAGGACCACGACTCCCCGAAGCATTGTGAGATGCCTGAAGCGCTGACCGAAATGGCTTGGGAGGATGGCCTCTATCAAAAGTACCCCTGCCCTCAGATAAGGCACCGCTGAAACCACCGAAATTATGAGGCCTCTTATCAGACACCTGCCCCATCTCCTTAGCACAAACAATCTCGATCCGTCTTGCAATATCTATAGCCTTCTGGAAGGTAATATCATCTCAAGTCTCCTTGGCTATTTGTAGCCTAATAGTGAAAGTGAGCCCATCAATGAATCTCCTTACTCTCTCCCTCTCTGTAGGGAGCAAGATAATGGCATGGCGAGCTAGGTCCACAATTTGAGTCTCGTACTAGGTAACAATCATACTGCCCTATTGAAGACTCTCAAACTACCTGCGGTAATCCTCTCTCAGAGTGACAGGAATGAACTTCTCTAGAAATAGTTGTGAGAACTGATCCCAAGTAAGTGCAGGCGACCCAGCTGGTCTAGTCAACATATAATCTTTCCACCACCTCTTGGTGGAGCCAGTCATCTAAAACACCGCTAAATAGACCCCATTGGTCTCAACTATACCAATATTTGGCAGCACGTCATGGCAGTGGTCTTGATAATATTGTTGGTCCTTAGAAGGTGCACCACTGAAATGAAAAGGAAAGAGCTTGGTAAACTTTTCCAACCTCAATAAAGCCTCAGAAGACATAGCGGGCCTATCACCGGCCTGTGTCGCAACAACCGACTTAACCATGCCAACTGGCGGGTCTGCTGGAGTCTGATACTAGGGAGATGCTTGCTCCGGGGTATGTGTAACGGGAGTCTGTGCTCCTCCCCCTGCCCGAGAGATGGCTGTTACCACAGGGAATGTACTGATCTGGGCAACACTCTCCATAAGGCCCACCAAACGGACTAGAGCGTACTGAAGCACTGGAGTGGCTATGAACCCCTCCGGGACCTGAGCTGGCCCGACGGGACAATCTGATCTGGAACCTCCTTCTTGTGATCAATCAGAGGCTTCACTGCGGGTGCTGCTGCTCGAGCTCTAGGCTGAGTTCTGCCTCTGCCTCGACCTCGGCCTTGACCTCTGCCCCTGGTCGTAGCTGCCACTTGGGGCTTCGACTCCTGTCCGGCTACAAATGATGTGTGTGTTCTCGCCATTTGCGAGAGAGCAAGAATAGAATAGTTCAATCATCAATGATAGAATAAAATCGCACGATATAGAAGGAGAGAAGTGGAACTTTTCCTAAACTCCATAACCTCTGTAATATAAGTACAGACGTCTCCGAAATGATCCCCTAGACTCTACTAAGCTTGCTCATGACTCATGATACCTAGGCAACCTAGTTCTCTAATACCAACTTGTCACGACCTGGAATTCCTACCCTCTGGACCATGATGGCGACTAACATTTCACTTGCTAGGCAAACCAACGTTAGAATAATTTCTAACCATTTTTAATAATTCAAATGAAATAGTAACCAAGAAATGAAATAAATGAAATAGAGCGAGAAAATCATAGCAACAACGTTATCTAGATACAATCCCAGAACTTGTGTCACAAGTGCACGAGTGACTAGAATAATACAAATAATGATCTGAATGAAAGTAACACTGCCTCAAATGAAATAAACAGCTTGAATAAGGTAGAAGGGGACTTCAGGATTGCGAACGCCGAGAAGTTGTACCTCAAGTCTCCGTCAAGCAATCAATCCGAGCAATCTACTGACCGCCGCTAGAATCGATTCTAAAATCTGCACAAGAATCGCAGAGTGTAGTATGAGTATAACCGACCACATGTACTCTGTAAGTGTCGAGCCTAACCTCGACGAAGTAGTGACGATGCTAAGGCAGGTCACTTACAATAACCTGTATGCAGTATAATAATAATAATAATAATAACAGGAAAGGTACAAAAGGAAAGTAAGGCAGTTAACTTATGAAAATAAACTTAATCCTCGAAATCAGTAAAACCATAAATATTAGTCCTCTGAATCTCTAATGAAAACACTAAAAGCTAGCACAAAGCAACAGTGAATACATAACACACAATCCGTTGTGACGCGCAACCCGATCCCACCGTATAAACACAATCCTCCCTTATTTCACCAAATCAATATCAAGAATAACATGTAAAATCTTTTGCGGCACGCAGCCTAATCCCACCATATAATCAAAATCAATATCATAATCCTCCCTTGTTTCTCCATATCAAAATCACATATAAAATCTGTTGCGGTGTGCAACCCGATCCTACCATATCAATATCAATCCTCCCTTATTCCACTCTTTACAGCGTGCAACCCGATCCATAAACAAAATCAATAATTATAATCAATTTAACATCTCAATTTACAAGAATCTATACGATTAAAGAATATAAAAGCAAAGCCATAAAGAAACCTCGTACCAAATCAAGAAATGCTACAATTAATACAAAGCAATAAGACAAGCCAAATATATGACAATAAAAGTGTACAAGTAAGGCAATTAAGACAAGTAACAACTAATCATGGAAGCATGGAAGAAACGAACATTTTAATAAGAGAGTAGTAAGTGACAAGTAGCAAGTTAAGGCATAGGAAGCAATTCAAGCATGTAGTAGTTAAACCCGAGATTTGGACAAAAACTCAATTACCGATTCACCCCCGAGCCCGATTATGCAATTAGTTTCGAAATTCAAACTCAAATTGAGGTCTAAATCTCAATTTTATAAAATCCCCAATTCTTCACAAATCCCTAATTTTCTACTATAAAAGAGCATAAACTAAGGTTAGAAATTAATGGGTGTTGATGGAAATGGACGAAAATGAGTTAAAGTACACTAACCTATAAAATGGTAATGAAATTTCTCTTCAAAATCACTTTTAGGCTGAGCTCTAATGAGAATATGGTGAAAATGGGTAAAATCCCATGTTTGGGACATTTTAAAGTCTGGGCATCAGGTGTTCATCGCGTTCGCGAGACACCTGACACAATCGCAAAGCAGCGACGGCCAAAGGCCTATGCGTTCACCAGGGGATGCACGCGTTCGCGATAGTCTGTCCCCCCTGGCCATCGCGTACGCGTAGAGCAAACCTCATATCCCCCTCCCAGCCCCTTACTCTTTGCGTTCGCGTAGTGCTGGTCACGTTCGTGAATGGTGATCCCACCACAGCTTCGCGTTCGCGTTCACACACACAACCTCGCATTTGCATAGAAAAAAACCTCCCTAATCCAGATTACCCTTCGTGATCGCGGGAGTATCTTCGCGATCGTGAAGAAAAACACACCAGATATCAGAAGTCGCCCAAAACCAGCAAATTCTTCTAAGTTCAAATGGTCCGTAGCTTATCCGAAACTCACCCGAGCCTCTCGGGCTCCAAACTAAATATGCACACAAGTGTAATAACATCATACAAACTTGCTCGCATAACCAAAACATCAAAATAACACCTAGAACCACGAATCGGATGCCAAAACGAATGAAATTTTTAAAGAAACTTAAGAACTTTCAATTTTACAACCGGACGTCCGAATCACGTCAAATCAATTCCGTTTTGCACCAAATTTTGCTGACAAGTCATAAATACTGAAATGAACCTATACCATATTCCGGAACCAGAATCCGAACCTGGTAGAAACAAAGTCAACCTATAGTCAAACTTAGGAATTCTTTAAACCTTTAAATTGCTAGTTTTCAACAAATTACGTTAAATCAAGTTAGGTACTTCCGAATTCGATTTCGGGCGTGCGCACAAGTCCCAAATCATGATACGGACCCACCGGGACCATCAAAATACTGATTCGGGTATGTTTACATAAAACGTTGACCGTAGTCAACTCAGATGAGATTTTAAGGCTAAATTTTACTTTTTCATCAATTTTCTCATAAAAACTTTCCAAAAAGGGATATGATTGTACACACAAATCGAGAAAGGCTAAACAGAGCTATTCAAGATCTCGAAACACATAAATGAAGGGTAAAACTATAAATGACCTATCGGATCATCACAGTATTGTGAGATATGGTTATCTGAGACTTGCGTAGTTAATGACTGATTTGGGGTCATAGAGCCGGTTTGATAATTATTTTGAGGTGACGCGTATGCCATGCTCATATTGGGCTAAGTGTTATTGATTTGGGCGACGCGTGCACCAAGCCTCATTATTGGGCTATATGATTATGATTAGCGCTTGGGCATAATTTGGTTTTCGGGAGTCTGACATACTAGGAGTGGGTGCAAGCATATTGTTTTATATACGTGCTTGATGATGGGCAGTTATGTAAGGCACCCGTACAGTGCTAAGTGTGATTATTCCTGATGGATACACTGTGATATTGTTGATTTAATATGTGTATTTGACATGTAGGCATAGAGATATACTTTTCCTTATGCTAGACGATAAAAAAAAATTATCCGTATTGGGATTAAACTGCTATAAATGGGAAGCATGCCTAAATTTCTGAAATGTGAACAAGCTGAACATAATATCATTGAGCTACCTGTTTCTACTATTTTCCTTTATATTTTGAATTGTTTCTCGTTATTGATATCGCTATCTGAGTATTGTTTCTGAGCTCGTCACTACTTTTAGCCCAAAATTAGTGTTGTTATTTATTGAGTACAAGAGATCGGTTGTACTCACACTACACTCTGCACTTCGTGTGCAGATCCAGGTACTTCCATCTACGTATCACCTCATATATTAATCTTGGAAAAATAATAGTAGCATTTTTCAAAGTAAATACAATTAATTAATAGAAATTATATTGTATAATTTTTGACATATATTAATGTGATATACTCTGACCACAAACATGTTATAATAGTGATTAAACTTTACGTACTTTATTTCCACATGGTAAAAATTGTTGAAAATAAAACAAGATTCAAAAAACAACAAAGTGACAAAAGAGACATTATATTCCTGTTGTTCTGAGACTTCTGTTCCTTTTTGGAGTATATAAATTAGCACTACCACTTGCAGTTTACAAGCAGAAAACACTTGAAGTTAATTACAAGCAGAAAACATTCTTCAGAATGGCTTCTCTGTGTCTACACAAAGAATCTTTCTTTCTTTTAGTGATAACTTTCGCATATTTCTCTTCTCCCTCAGCTGCCCAAACAAAATGTAACATCAGATCAGTTTACCAACTCGGTGACTCACTCGCTGATGCCGGAAATGTCATCCGTACACCCGGCGCTTCCATTATATTCCGAGCCAACCAAGCTCCGTACGGTGAAACCTTCTTTAGAAGACCTACCGGCCGTTTCTCAAACGGCCGTATTATTATCGATTACATTTCCTCTGCTTTCAAACTCTCCTTCCTNTACGGTGAAACCTTCTTTAGAAGACCTACCGGCCGTTTCTCAAACGGCCGTATTATTATCGACTTCATTTCCTCTGCTTTCAAACTTTCCTTCCTTAATGCTTACTTGGACAGAGGTGCTTCTTTTAGCCAAGGCGTTAACTTCGCCGTGGCTGGTGCCACGGCGCTGAATTCCTCTTTCTGGGCAGCTCGGGGTATTCGGCTGCCCACATGGAACACGCCGTTGGCTGCTCAATTAGGTTGGTTTAAATCTCATCTACAATCCACATGCGGTTCTAATTGTGCACAAACTCTTAGGAGTTCGTCTCTTATAGTAATGGGAGAATGGGGTGGC